GACGACTGACGGCTTCCGAGACGTTCTTCACGCACGGAAGAGCCCGCCAACATTTTGGGCCGGTTGTATTTGGTCCCTGGTGTCGTTTTCGTATGCACTGGTTGACAAAGTTGCGCGGGTAACCATTGGCACTCATTACCCGTCGAAGATGTTGTGATTCAGCAGCGTCTTCTCACATTTCACTGCAGGGCGTCTCAACGCGCCGGTATAGCGCCCTTACACAACTGCGTTTATGACTGATTAGGTAGTTGCCGTTGAAGTTCGGTATTTGCGTCGTATTTGTCGCTTTCCTGAACACTTTGGTAATGTTTTACAGATCGATAGGAGTGTCCTTATTGGTGTTGGTAGTGATTGTGGTACTGGTGGTTTTTTGTGAGATCGCAGGCGAGTTGGTCTTATTGACATTGCACTGGGTCCGCAAATTTCGAATGAGGCCCATCCGTGCCCGGAACGTCCGTTGACAACGTTTACCCGATGGCAGGGGTTGGGTCCTGGCGCGTCTCCCTCTCTGCTTTGACAACAGTTACTCGATTGGCCTTGGAGATAGCTACTCAAGCCCTTACAGCAGTGCGCCATGCCTGCAGATCTTGAGTGAGATCTTCACATGTCTCAAGGTTAATCAACAGGTGCATTAGGGAGGTCTTAAGGCGTCCATCTATTGCCACTTATATCCGCATTGTTTGCGACCATCCGTAGCGACATCGCCGTATCATAGCCGCGTAGGCAAGCGCACGTCGTTCATCCCCACGACGTGGCCGCTCTATTGCGGTGTAGACATTGAAGACGCTGGTTCTTTTTAGAATCTCAGTGTCTAAGATCCTTTCCCCCAGCTCCATCTTTCAGTATTCTTCGGAGGCAGTTGAGGTTAGAATGACTGTCTTCTTGATTGACCTTAATAGAGCGTCTGTGTCTCCTCCCCGTAGCATGTCATTGTCAGCACAACAGTCCGGTAAATCCCCAGTTTTGCTTTGATTTGAATGCCCTGACGGTTCTAGACGGAGTGTTTCAGCCAGCCGAAAGCTTGGCTGGCTTTGGGGATCTGGCGGGCGATTTGGGTGGTCTTGATGTTTCATGAAATTACATTCCCATTGTAGGCAAATTTGGCCACCGGTGTTAGGTGATTTCCACTGACATGGATACGGGGAAGGTATGATCCGCATTTAGCGTCGGTTAGTGCAGGACCATTGTCCTCCGTGATGATGGTCAGTCCGGAGTTGGAGAAGCCGGAAGCACAAAGATATCCACACTCCGCAGCATGCCCTCTTCGGTTGTGGTGTTTAATGCGCAATTATCTGCAAACAGTTAGTCGTGGACGATGGCATCAAATACTTTCGATGCTTTCAGGTGACGGATGATTAAGTTTTTCATCAGGTCGGTAGTTGGTGTCGATCCTCGGCCATTTCTCACGGTAGACGTCCACAAACATAGCAGAGAACACTGAATAGGATTGGGGCGAGTACGCAGTTCTGCCTAACCCAATTGGTCACTGCGAATACTTCAGACGTTTCCCCGTTGTTCCTGTCGCGAATCATCATCCCGTCGTAAAGTTGTCTTAACATTTGAGCAAATTTCTCAGATCTTAATTTCAACATAATTTTGCAGAGTTCACCGTGATTCACCGTGTCAAAGGCCTTCGTGTCGACGAGTGGTTAAGGACACCCTGGAAGTACGCAGCCCATCACTCCAAGTTCTGACTTCACTGGCCGAAGTTTTGCTCCATTTCATTTCAGCAGCGCCGCCGACTCCTTGCTTGTAGACCATAAATTGCCTTGATGGCAGCGAATAAATTCTTCATCTCACCACAATCGGCATATTCTCGGGTCTTTTCAACTTTGAGAATCAGCCAGTCGTACATCTCCCTCAGCCTCTGACGTACAAGACGTTGGCCTTAGAAGTATGCGGCCTTGTTGGCGCTGTTGCCGTTGCCGATGTAGGTTGTGTTTAACCTGTGTTACCCGGAGAGGAGAGTTCGTAGTTCTTGGTTATTTTAGTCAAACCAATGCTGATACCGACCGCATACCCAGCCGACATTTTCTATCACGGTGGCCTGGATGATATCCCAGGGGGCTCTCCACTGGGTCTCGTCATTGGTATCCACCTCCAGTTTGACGTTAGTGTGGCCGCTGAGATTCAATTAGCAGTCCTTCTTGATGGCAAAGGCGACTGCGACATCTCGTCGCTGTGCACTTTGACGTCCGCTTCAGAAGAAGGTGTATCCATCATCCACATTCTCCAGTTGTCCCTGCTCAGGGAAGCGGGTGTCACTGGGAGGCGCAATGCCCGCTTTGTAACTGACCAGTTCGCGTGCGACAAAGACCGTCCTCTTTTCCGGACGGTTTGCCATTAGAATGCCTGAAAGAGAACGAACATTCTAGACTGCCAAGGTGAGTACGCGAGGACGTAAAGTTTTGCTGGCACGCGGACATTCGCGTTCTGCGGAATATGGCTTTTCGATTACACCGCTCAGATATGGAAGTGCTGTGGTTGCCATGGCTCTCCATGCGTCCACGAAACGGGTCAAATAGCATAAGGGAGTTAGCCCATGGATAACGCAGAAGATTTAGTAAGGTGTTGCCAAAGTAAATGAGCTCTGACACTGTTGCCAGGGGCCTCGAGATCGCTGAACCTGACCACTTTCCCTCACCGTAAGAGCGTTCTACGCGTGCCTACAAATGACCGGACAATTAGGTCTGTGGGTTAATCAAAACTTCCCTCCCAAAGTGTTCTTCTGGTTGCACGTGCGTTCTGGTGTACTGCCTGCGGTCACTGACTTCCACAATGTTTTTAATTAGCAAGCAGACATTTTCAAATTCTACGTCAAATTGGCCAGTTACCGCAAGACTGACTGGCTTGGTAAGACATCGCTTATCGCTCGAAGTTTCCACGTATGTTTGCCAATGAACACAGTAGCGTATTTGACAGGCCAAAAATACCAGCCGTCTTCTACAGCAAACCCCTCAGAGTTCAAATTTGCTCAGATAGCTGCCTGATCCCTGTTCCTTCTCGGAAGAAGTTTACTTCACCCCAAAGTCGTCCTACACGCCTGCTGTTACTCTGTCTTTCTTATAGTAGTGTGCAAGTTTCTGCCCAGCTCGCATAACGTCTCTACATCTCGCAGGTAAAGCGTTTGCGCTGGTTCGACTAGCTTCTGTTGTGTCAATGATACAATAAAGCACGTTGCTTACCCACTGACCGTCTCGCACTGTTCTTCGGGTTTGTAATCGGCATCACATCAGTTATAATTATTCGAAATGCGTCCAGCGCGTTTACACCGACTTTCGATTCACGACTTCTGAAAGACAGATTGTGGAGCTCCGTGACCGTCTGTCGGCCGTGTTTTCTCGCCTGCTGCTATTATCCAAGCGTTCTGCAAGTACACTGACTTCTCATTTAATTGGGTCTCCGGTAGCATCGGGCAGCATTCCCACACTCACCCTCTCTCCACGATGAAAATTTGCCGCTTGTGACCCACAATTCCCACCGTGTGCTGCACAGCACTGTGAGAGCAGGCACGGTGACTTGTAATCTACAGTGAGTGACCGATCTCATGAAATGTTGGCTGAAATTCTGAAATGCGTTTTCCGTTAGGAAGGATTACTTGGTCGCGGTTGTAATACTGATTATCTTGGGGCATAATATTATGGTATTTCGGACTCCGCAGGATGTCGGCTTTTAAATGCACTGCTTTTCAATCTCCTGTAGAAACCGTACTCGGTAAAAAATGACTACTTAAGTAGCATGCATTTTTCCCATTGATTTTCGATGGCCTTGCAAATTTAAATATATCTCATATGTCATATATCTCATAGAAACAAAAATATGGTTTCTTTTAGTCAATTAATAGAGAATCACGTCTTCTTTATATGTTATACGCAAGGAAGGAATATAATTAGGCTTTAAAAAGTTTCTAATTATGAGATTTTTTAAGACCTCGCGATGTCCGTTCATAACATCGTGCCTGACCGATTATTACAGCTCCTCATGAAATGTACAACGTAGTCCGCATTCATTGTAAAATTTTATGAACTCTGTATGATGTATTTTTAATGGCATAAAAAAATATGTGATCTTCTTTACGCGGAACGCATGCACCTTGTAGACTGAAATCACTAAGCCCTAATGCAACGAATGATCAGGCTCCAAATTATTCGGCAATTAGAAAACTTTTTACAGCCTTATTACACTCCATCCTTGCGCATAAAATATGAATAAGACGTGATCCTCTATTAATCGACTGAAAGAAAGCAGGCTTGCACGACATCCTCTCCCCCACCTGGGCCCGGTGTCAGGACATAGTCAAGAAGACGGGAGAGCGCGCAGGTGGCTGACACGGCCGGACCCGCACCTAGGCCCACCACCACCGCCACCACCACCACCACCACCCCCCCCTGGCTCACAACAAACACTTGACCAAGATTTTCATCGACAACAAAATGGAGCGGCGGCAGGGACCCCAACTCCTGTGACGTAAGCCAGCAACTGGGCTTGCCACCACAGCCCGAATGTTGGCATTTGTTATGGTGCGCATTCCCAATAGCGCCATCCAGAATCCGATATGGCCCCCTCTGTTGATCCAGCACGTTTACCGCGTGACCCGTTTGGGGGGACACCACGATACTTTTGCTACCTCCCACATTATTATTACTGAGTATCATTATTCCGCTTTTGGTTCTACCGCTCTTCGTCACATGCCATTTTTAAAGTCTCCACTTGGACGTGCAAGCAGAGAACGGCTTCGCATCTTAGCACCGGGCGTAACGCCAAGCTCCCGACTGACACCTAAGGTCTTTTTTTCAGCAGACAGACACTACCTACCTCGACTATATCAATTTAAGACGATCTGCTTGTCCTTGTCCGTCCGAAATAACTGTTATTTTTTCTCTCTGCCCCTTAAAGTAGGGATACCGACTCCCGACCCTTGAACTCACTCTTACTAGGCTACAATACTTTTTAAGGATGACATGAAATCATGAAAGTTTGTTTTGCAGGATCCATCGGCGATGGATAATTCAGAGGCGCAGCTGTTTGAGGATGAATTCCCGCTTGTCCGAAGCTGTCCTCAATTGAACGAACTTCGTAGTGCACATGAGTTAACCGACCTCGTCATTCAGGCAAGTCACTTCCTCTCAATACAGAGTTTCAACGCTCACAGTTGAAGGATGACAAGTTTCTGCATGTGCACCGGCTTATCTTAGCCTCTAGAGTCCCTTCCTTGCGTGCGACGATGGCGAAGACGGCTTCAGATCTTCACTGGCCAACGGTCTCCATTGAGTTTCACTGTTTCCTTTCCTAATGGATCTTTCTGAGGTCTGCATCGTCACTCATAGACTACCTGTACACAGGTCGGATTGAAATCAGTAATGCCAATGCGATGAACATGATTTTGTTGTCGAAACAGTTGTCACTTCCCTGTGTGGAAAATTGGGCTGTCGATTTTTTGTCTGTCAGGTAACTTGTCATGTTTATCTGTATATTGTTCAATGCCGAAGACTTCAGAATGATAACCTTTCGGAATCATGGAATTTCGCGACAGCCGTGAATTGTGAGGGTCTTCGAGACGCTTGTGTGCACCACATGAAAGCATTTTTCGAGGCAGTTGTTGCTAGTGACCCTCTCCTTGAACTTCCTGCAGACGTGCTACTCTCCGTACTGCAAGACGATGACTTGCAAGTAAGCAGTGAGAAGACGGTTTTCGAGGCAATTAAAAGATGGGTCTGTCCCTCCGGCACCGTTGATGAGGAAAGGATAGCTCATGCTCCAGAGATGCTGAGGGAAGTTCGATGGAGTCAAACGAAGCAGCATTTCAGGAGACGTTTAATGGAGAGTGACGATCTCATCGTCAGTAGCGCAGACTGCATGTATGCAAAAGATCGTTTGTTATTCTTCCTCAATTGGCAGGCAGTGTGTAGGTCTTGCAGATCACTGGATAGGATATTCGACGTTAGGAACGCAGGAGGAATGCCCCTTCAACGCTAGCCCTCGACCGGCAAGTCTTGCGACGTCTATTATCGTCTTTGGGGAGTCGGCAGCTGAGAACCGGGGTTTGATTTGCCAGTGCGATTTGGAGGAAAACACTCGCGAGGAACTCAACACCGTAGAAGGTCTTGTGAGCGCAAAGTTTGTGTCCTTTGGGGATGAGTTCTTATTCCTATTTATCTGTCGCGCAACTCTAAGTTGAGGCTGTTTGACATGAGCTGGAAATCACTTCTACCATATGGATTCATAGGTTGGTTATTTTGCAGTCTTGTACTGCTGCTAGGGCATGTCATTTGGCATATTTATACTTTTTTATATGCATTTTTCTGCATCATAGACTTAGCGTGCTATAGAGCAGCATTGTGGAACGTTATTGTGACCTGTAGTGTTCTTTCGTGCCGCTATGTGCTTCGGGTGATGGAGACAACTCTTCCCCATTTCCAACCGAATTTCATCATTCGCTACATTGTGTTCAGATGTTTTTCGTGTAGCGTAAAACGATGGTAGGAACTGACTAACTCTTGGGCAATAATAATTTATGTCAGATTTATTATAATCCTAACATCTAGATGTTCTTGGTACAAATGTGTACAAGATTAAGATGATCGTCATCTCTAGCATCGAATGGGATTTAATTCCTTTTTATTCGCCTCTTTTCTCCGCGACAGAGAGCATCTTTGTAATTGGAGGCAGGGTCAGCGGACAAGTTTCCACATCGCTCCGAGTCGACGAATTCCGTACGAGGGAACGCCAGTGGCGAAGGCGGCCTGACCTACAGATTCGTCGCGAATATCACGCCGCAACGGTTGTGGCAGTCGGCGAACACGAGGAGGACGCGCTGGTGTTTGTTTGCGGGGGAAGCTACAGCCTGGACGATTCCGCGAGCGTGGAATTTCTCCGTTCATGTGAATTGTTTGATCTGCGCAATAACAGGCAAATAATTTCATTCGTATAATTCAGCATATGTAAAGACTCGGTCGAAGGCGAAAATGCAATATTGACGTTTAAATAAACGGGTTACTGGAACGTTGTCAGTAACCTATATATTTACACTATATTTTAAGTGTTAAACTGCAACCGGAGTACCCTCACTTGTGGAGGATAATGTCAAGTTAACGATAAGTAGTCGTCCGCATTAATGGTAGCTATGTGCAGGCATCGGTTTGGCGCGGCGTTTTTTCCAATAGGGAATTCAGTTCGATCAAGGTCCGTTTCATCAGTGAGAAGATGCGAAAAATGGCTTAGGTATATGACCTCGTCATTATTAACGATTATGTCCTCATTGTTTTCCCCTTTCAACACTGCGACCTCCTTGTTCTGCAACCTGCTGTTGATGTATCTGAAGACTACTTTTGGCTTATCAACGGTCCGTCCCATAATCCGTGTTTTATACTCCTTCCGCGACCTACGGATATCTGACCTTATCTCGTTCCTCTTTTAGCGAAATTGTTTGTAATGCAAAGGTTGTTTTGTTGCTGCACAAATTCCCCAAGGTTCGTTCTCGCAGTTCATCTCTTTCTTTAAATCTCGCGTTAACCAGACAGGGCGACTAGTCTTTTGAACTCTTTGTCGAACAGTCCCGTTGCATGACCCCGCATATAACACCTTTAACTATGTTTCAATCGGCATCCGGATGTCCTGTAAGAGCGTCATGCCAGTTTAGTATCGATAATTCACTTCTCATGGCAGAAAAATTTCCCCACCAGGAATTCAACCGAACATCAGTGGTCTCTATTCGTTGGTTATATAAGCAGCATTCCCAAAACAGCATAACATGGTCATTCTTACCAAGCGTTGCTATGGACCTAAGTTCGACAGCACTAATAGGGTTTTTTAAGGACGACATCTAGATGATTTGCCCTTTGATCCTCTTTGGCTGTGGTGGGAAACGGGCATTCTGTACGAGAAGCAAACAGATTTCCAGTTCTGAGAGTCTGGAATTAAAGGATTTACGCGAACCGTCTACTGATCAATTGTCCCAGTCGATCATTGGTGCCTCGTAATCACTGGCTATCAGTGCGTCTTGGTTTTGAGCCACTTCTTTAGTCAATTCAAACGTTGCCTCACCAACCTCTGGAGTTTGATTGGGCGGCTTGTATACAGTTCGGTGTCTGACGAACCTTTAGCTTTAACCGCATTGCTTTACAGTCACGGGAGCAAGCAATTGTGTGTTTCAATGTTATGATTCCTCTAATGTAGATTGCTAGTTCCTTTTTTATGCAGCCGGTCCTGGCGAAAAGTTCACATTCACCGAGAACAATTTCGGCATCCAATACTTCAGCCTTTAACCAAGTCACTCTTATGGAAATGACATCCGGCCGCTTATCTGATACCCGTGCCTTTAGGGACAAACTCTGTGCACTTTTATAAGGAAGAGGGAGTTCTGCTAGAATAGATTTTCAAATTATGTTTGGATCAAGTTTGCCGAATATTTCATGTGGCTTATCTCGTCTATGGTCTATAGTCCATTTCAAGTCTACTGTTGTTTGATCAAACTGGACGTCGTTTCATCGATCGTCAATGTTATTGACTGTCTTCGCAAGTCGCCATGTCTGCTCTCAGCTTGCTGTGGAGCACGCGGTGGACATATTCGGTTACTGCGGTCGAACTGTCATCTGCGGACGTCCGAACATTTACGATTTCTCCGTTCAATATTCTTAGATTCTTCTCTCCTGAGATGGATCTTCTGAGGAGTTCGGCTTTGAGTTTCCTCCATTTTTCGCGCCCGGCTGTTTTTTATCTGACCAAAATACCAAAAGCATATGTCATTTCTCACCATTTAGTCTCTTAAGGAAGCTTAGATCGGTCTATGGCATCAGGAACCAAGAGTCCGTGAGGTGGAATGTTGACTGCTAAGACTGTCACTCACTCTGGCGCCTGAAATTTGGACGGTACAGCAAGGCAGAGCCACAAGGTATGCATCAATACCAATAGTCGTAGTATGGGACGGTCGTTAATTCCACTGAATCTTGTTTTGTTTTATACAGTTTTCGACTTTTGATAAAGTCGTACTGTTGTCAAATTTCTCTTGCATGTGCGTAACTTCGCTGATTGGGTAAGGTCTATGACCTATTCAACATTGATTCTGTAGAATCATGAATGATTGTATGTATGTTGAAACCCATGATCTGCAAGCCGAAATTCGTATTGGGAGCACTTTGTGGCCAATTCAGTCTAAGAATTTTCCCACTCACCTTGGTGACGGAATATCGTGCGACTTTCCGTTCATGAAGAAACGTTTTTGCATGCAACAAATTAGAGATGCCAGGCGTGTGTGTTGATCGGCGAGAACCTTAAAACAGTCGGTGTCAACGTCTGCCAAGTTTTAGTCAAACTGCACTTTAATGTGTATACGCCAGTTAATGTTGTACGAACCGAGACCTAATAACTCGATTCTCCTGACCTAAGGTGTGGCTTTTGTAACCCGCCCATCTATTTGACACTAGAAGACGGGTTGCCCATTAGCTTAATTGCTGGCTACCCGTTGCGTCAGCAGGTGGCGGACAGTGGGACGGCCTTCAGTGAAGGTTAGCTGCGAACCAAGCAGACCCAGGTCTGACGAATAAGCAGTCGCGAGCCAGGAGTGACAATTCTACCAGGGTGCGGAGGTCTGAGGTCTGGCGCGCTGAAAGCCTTATAAAAAGGTCACAAAGCCCGATGACGGCACTGTGACATGGCGAACGTGAGCCGCCAGAAAATAAGTTTGCTTGCCACTGCTGCCTTGTTGTTAGGCTCTTGGGCCAAAGCGCTAGAGGAGACAACCTCGAACAAACTGCCCGAGCGGCCGTTGGAGACCCGCCTGTGCTCACCATTTCCCAGGCATTTCATGAAATATGTCCGACTACAGTACTACGATCGGCGCCCGTGGGAACCACCGAGCTTCGCAATCCTAGTCCGATGGTGCGGGGGAATAGTATGCAAGCTGGACTACTCAATCTGAAAGGGACTCTTGGTATTGGATGCTGAAATGTGCGGACGTTCTTGGACCCTTGACCGCGTTTAACCTTTATCAGTATAACGTGATTGTCTTCTGCCTGTCTGAATTCCGACTTTCTGACTCAGACTCTCGGGAGATAAAGATCCCGTAAGTCGACCCACACTTTGTACCACGGCAGCCCACGTGACTCTTCTGGTAGACACGGTGTGGCGATCAGTCTCTCGCCACAAGCGAACCGCAACGACCGTCTTCGCGTCAGATCGTTTCCCTTGTGCCCGAATTAGTGACACACCCCTTTCAACAGTTCATCTTCATATTTTCTGAGAGGAAGACGATGGTCACGGAAAGCTTTTTATTGTGAACGAGTCCTTTGTATTTCAGGTCTTACGGGATAGTATACCTAAATGTGATCCGTGCACGCGTAGAGTATGATCAGATTGGCGCAATCTGAAGCTGACACTTTTTCGAAAAAAAACTGTTATGCCTGAAAGAGAACTCTTTAACTTCTGTCATAACTTAATCGTCTTTCGATCAAATCGAAAATCATGGCCATCTGATTTATTAAGGAGCAGTCGACGCTGGAACCGCTAGAGATGGGATTCGCGCCAAGGATGCTGTTTTCGTCTGAGAAGGAAAATAAGTTCACTAAAACAACCTTGTTTGCTGGTGGACGTTTCAGACAGCAGTACAGACCAACTCGGAAAACTGTGAAGCCCAGTTCGGTTTGCTTGTGGCACAGGCTTTGACGATGAATAGTCCACCAAGCTGTTTGAAGTATTGGCCAACTAACAAAGTTTTTGTTTACCAGACCTGAGTTCGCTGCCTTTTATTCTTGCTAGATGGCATCGACTTCCCGAAATGCTGGAAAAGAGACGTAAGACGGCAGCCGCCGCGCTGTCTGACGGACGCGTTTTCGTGTTCGGCGGCTATAACGGCAGATGCTGTCTTGCCTCCGTCGAATTCTGCCACCTTCAGGCCGACTGGTCTGATACTATTGAGACGGCCAGGACAGAGGACTTTTGGCGACCGCTTGCGCCGATGAGGACGTCGCGCTACGCTCACGCAGCGGTGGCCTTCAAGGGAAAGATAATCGTGGCTGGAGGTTACTCCGTAAACGATGGCGGCAATCACAGTAGACAAAGTATCGTGGAGGTATTTTCCCCACCGGACGCTGAATGCCCACTCGGCGAATGGACTCGGGTTGCCGATCTGCTGGTAGCCCGGTCCTATTTTTCTCTACTGGTGTACAAGGAAAGACTTTACGCCTTGGGTTAGCATTTCCCTTGCTGTCACCTTTCAGTCAATAATATTTTAGTTCTGTTCAGGGAATCAGGTGTGAAACACGTCTTTAACTTCTCAGTAGGCGTTTGTCTTGCCACTACTCGTTCTATGTTGGTTCTACAATTGGGCTAATTTTTGGTACAACCTCAAGTTCATTCTCACTTAAACTAACTACACAGTTTGTGTGGCCACTTCGGTATACGTTTTAGTGTCTTCCCACCTGACTCTCCGCGTCTTTTCGTTCCCATTAGGAGGCGCGGAAGATCCCAGAAATACGATTGAGAAATTCGTTCCGGAGGATCCGCCGGCTACAGCCGACGACCTGTCGTCCTGGTCTTGGGCCGAACTGGAGCCTGTAAACGATCTGGATTCTATCGATGGAGCGGTGGTTATTTAACGGTTTTCGATTCTTAAATAAAGCTTTTTCAAGGAGGAAAGGTGTTCTCTGGGAAAGGCTTATTTGAAGTCTGACATTTTGAACAGGTATTCCTTGCTACCTATTCTCAGAGACTGGAGAATCTTGCGCACTGCCGTCATTATATGACGCATTCTTCTTGATGCGTAGACCGCCGGTGCCGACTGTGGGGCTGCATCCGACCCCCTCTTCATCTGGGAATCGCATTCTCACAACTACTGATGAGAATTGGGTATATTTTGCATTAACATTTTGGAAATGCAGGCCAGGACGCACAATCTTTTCGACAAAACTACTCCTGAGGCGGATTGATTTTTTGAACGACTGAACCACCGATATACAACGGCGTTACGTTAGAATCGCGTTCACCGAGCGGCTTACTGGGCATGCTGGACCCCTTGTGACTTTGGACACAATCCAGAGCCCTCACGGGCTGCCAACGGCCAATAAGCCAGAAATGGCCACCCCAGTCTGTCTTGTCTCTGTCGGTGCTTCTTCTCTGCATGTAACGGGATTGTTGCCTAGTTGGTGGTCCAATTAC